TAGGATATAGAGCAAACAATTATTTATGTGCGTCAATTTAATGGTTTCTAAATAAGAGATGCAGTGAAAAACACTCGGGTTTCCGAAGAAATTATTTTATTTTATGTCCTGTCGTGCCTGTGAGCAGAAAGGTGCAGCTTGCTTTCAACTGTGTGGCTGGAAAAACAACCCACAGCAACAAAAAAAACAAACCCCACCACTGATCCTCACCACAGAATAAAATTCAGATCAGGGGGAGAGATTGTCAAAAGCTGAAAGTGGATAGTCCTAATGAGGTATTTATTGTCTCAGAGGCACCATCAAAGCACTGATGCAACAATGATCAGTGTTGCTTTCTTACAAAGGAACAGTGAAAGAGTACTAAATATCTGTCACTCCTCATCCTGTTGCTAACACAAAGCTTACAAGCCCTGTTGAGGTTACAAATGCAACATTCGTCTTTCATCTAAAAAAGATTTACCTTAAACCTCAAAGAATTCAAACAATTTCTTCTCCTTTAACCAGGTTATTACATTGATCGAATTCCATCTGCAGAGATGGAATCCCGACTCCAGCAAATAAAGCGTTTCACTCCCATTCGGGGCCCGAGTTAAAATCACTCCTCCAGTAAATCTTGTCATTATTACCTCTGTTCGTGTTCAAAATTGGGAGCGAGTTATGCCAGTTCCTTGCCATGGTCTGGCCAACAATTCCCCAGATCAATTAATCAGCCATTCACTTCATGGCTGTTTAGAGGATACTGATCTGGCCAAATTGATATTTGCCCATAAAAACAAGTCACTTACAGCTCGTTCCTCTAACACTGGGGAAAGCAAGTCCAAAAACAGGGTAAGTTTTATTCATTTATTTTTATGCTAGAAATTTAATCTGGAGACATCTAATCCTGTAGCGAGTCATCCTTGCTGGAAGTTCATGATCTAATTCTCCTCAGCTACTTAATATTAAATTCGGTCTCATGACCTCATGTTGATGACAAACTAGGTGGGACATCAACTCAGGAGATGCGTTTTAAATGACAGGAAAGGGGTCCTATAGCTCAATGGTTAGAGCACTCGCCTCGCAAGCGAGAGACCAGGGCTTGATTCCCGGTAGGGCGAAACCTTGTGCAAGTTTCCTTAATCCACACGCCTGATGATAATTCCTCAAGAAGAAAATAATAATTTGGTCACTCCACTCTTTGTGGAACATTGCTGTGTGCAATTGGCACACATATAGTCAATTCACTTTATAGTATATTCTGTGAAACAGTTTGAGACGTCTCGAAGATGTGAAAAGAGCTATATCAAATGCAAGTATTATTATTATAAGGCAAAGGAAGCAAGTTGAAATATTGCAAATCAGACACCCAATGTAAAACACAGAGCACCCCTATACCCAACCCTACCTCTAAACCAGCTGTAACTAATGTCAAGCTAAGCGAAACAGCCATACTGCAATAAAGATAGGCCTGGCTCGAAACACGTGAATTCATGAGTAATAAATATCCTGTGCAAATAATTCTGAAAACTTCACCTTTTAGAGGATGTAATGAGCACTCATTAACTAAAGCCAAAGGGAGGAGGGTTCAGTGAGGCTCCCATTGTGCCGGAGGTCACTATTTTCACAATGATTGGGTAAGGTATCAAAAGCATCTTTACATAAGAGAAATCATCCCTTTCATCTTCCAGCGTCTGATTTCTGAAATTAACCCCTTTGTCTCCTGCAGGGCAAGCTTCACCTGAAAGCTACAGCTGTGATTGTACAGGTTTCCATCTGCACGGTGTATGGTTACACAGGTTACACAGTTTATTAGAAAAAGGAGCACTCTGAATCCCGCCCCCAAATAATCCATTTTCCAGTTTCACTGAAGTGCAGACCAACCTTGTGAATGTTACTATACTGGATGTGAAACAATCAAACAAATTCTGCATATCAAACCTGTTATTTGATAAAAATATAATTGTTAGTCATCTCCTAACCTGCCCACTCTCCCAACACCATCAGTGGGTGAGCTTTCGTCATGCTGCTCCCCCCTCCAGCCCAAACACCTCCACCTTGCCCCCTCCGTCCTTGATCTCAAAACCTAACTTGAGACCCATCTCTTTGACTGTGCTTTTGGCCACCTTTTCCTCCTCATCTCTCTTCCACGCTCAGGCTTCCAGTCAGCCGTGTGAAGCACTTGGAGACATCTTCCTGACATGAAAGCTGCTATACAAATGTAAATTGTCATTGTTTACATTTTTTGGACAAGATGTTTTCCCTACCTCAACACATCGATTCCTTCGATGTCTAATCAACCGTGGGAGAGCAGGGAGGGCCTCATGGCAGAGCTTGATTCAGTCATCACCCGACAGGTGTACATACATCTCCAGCAGAAGTCATTAGATAGTGATCAGAAAAGCCGAAAACTTGTTTGTTTCTTCCCTGGGATACAAAGGCAGATTCTAGCAGATTCTCATTCCAACAGAGATCAGCTGGCTCAGCAAAGACCAGGACTAAAACCTTGGACTTTTGAACGTCTCGATTCAAAAAAGCTTTGACTGAATCGCTGTAAAGATATTTCCTGAGATGTGTCTCTGCTAGTAATGTGCAGGAGGAGAGACTTTTTTTAAAAAAAAATAGATCACCGAAGCTTTGATACTGGTTTTCTTTTTCAGCAACAAAGAGCCAGCCTTCAGAGGAAATTGAATTAAACCGTGAAATTTCACTCGAGCTCTTGTTTGCAAACTTCCAGAAGATTTTATAAAATCTCCAAGGCTTGAAATTTCACCCAGTCTTAGTCCTCAAGGCCACTGAACAGTCTTAAATTTTTTAAGATTGTGCAAAATTCTTAAATGCAGTCTGAATTTGGAAGTTTTACTTTAAAAATACAGAAAAATAGCTTCCAAATCGAGAACTCTTTGCATTTAGTTTCCACAAATCTGCGCCATTTTAAAATGGACTTACAAGCTAAAATTAGTTGGAAATTCAGGTCTCAAAAGCTGGGCATTTAAAGTCAGCCTTTTTTTAAAAAAAACAAAAACAAATCTTCTCTTCCGTCTGACTCAAAATGTCCTGTCAGGCATTTGATATCAGATCAGCTGTAAAGTGGATCCATTATTTGTTAAGAATTCATCTGCTTCATCAACAAAGTGCAAATGACTATGCTGAGAGGCTTTCTGATTTCAATTCGGGATATGCAAGATGAATAATGGATGCAGAGGTCTAATCAAACCATCCCTCCAATATCACACCAAACTCACATTATGTATTCTACAGATGGCTTTCAAAAAAAATCTGTGCTAAAAAATGAAATCCTCCACTAAAGAAAGATTCATAAAATGTTATCTTTTAGTTTCTAAAGAGCCCCCAGGGAGGGCAAGGGGAGGATTTGTAATGTTTTAGACCACCTGTTTCATAAGACCCTGATTACATTTTGAGATAGCCATGGCATGAAAAATTTATGAGAGTTTGTGTGTTATTAAAAATTCATGGTCACTGGCAGGGTGTCTCAAAGCAACAATTTCATCTGCTCCAACCAATACTCTCTAAACCAAGCCCCAAAATTAACCTTCAAGTGCTATATTGGCAGTGATGGGTAATGTTTGCAAATTGCACTTTTGTTTTTTTAAAAAATATAAAATGGATCATGTCATCAATTACAAGCAAAGATTTGGGATGTCAGAAAACGGTTTTTAGTCTCAAATATTTTGGCGTGTAATGCAACAAATCAGGAATGTTGCACCCTTAATATAATAAAACCATCTTTAATCCAATCTCCCTCTTTAGTTTGCTGCAGATTTCCACTGTTATTTGCATTTCCGATTTTGCAAAATCTGGAGCTTCACTTAAAAGAAATGGCTCAACAAGAATTTTCAGCATCACAATGCGTGAAGTGAAATTAGACAACAGCAACTTGTGTTTATATAGCGCCGCATCTGAGCGTTGATACAGGAAGAAAAATATTTTTACTGAGCGGGAGAATGACGCTGGAGTTGATACCTGCAGTGAGGGAGCTAACACCAGCACATACATGATGGGATACTCCAACAATGTGCAAATTCTAAATCTCAAAAAAGATAACTACCCCAGAAATGTTTTTAAAAACCTTGGCGGTGTAAGAGTTAAACATGTGTCGGTTCAGAAACTGTACTTAAAGTTGCACAACATGAATTTTCTTGTGCTGTGTAATTCTGAAAAAATTCAGCAGCAAAATAGCAGCAGCTGGACAAAAAAAATCTCCATTTAGTCACGTGCACAGAAATGGGTTTCTAACTTGCAACAGAACCCTGGAATTGGCTTACATCCCAATAGTGAAGCAATCATTTAAAATAAATGCTTTTTTTAAAAAAATCGCATTGCCGTTGCTCTCAAGAGCTTCCCATTTCATCAATTGGTCACTGATTTAAAGCCTTATATGGATTGATCTGTTCAGCAGGGTATAACCAACCTGGAACGTCATGGAAGCAAGATAATATTGCTATGATTTACGAATGGCTACAGTAATGTTTTATTCTACCAGGGAAAAATCTTCTGCACAATATTCTATAGTGCATGTGGAAATGAAAGGGAAATTTCAAAACATACAATCAGTTCAAATACAATGCCCTACGAAAATATACACTGTCCCACCCTCCTTATACAGCTGTAGGTGAGATCTCTATCTCTGTTATAAACCCACTGGATTGTGGCTCCCAACCTTTTTTCATGCTCAGTTACACGGCAGATATTTGGCCTCCAAAGATCTCATTCAGATGAAAGGCACATTGCAATTGTGTTAGCTCAGTGTGACATTAAAAAAACACTCCAATTCTCCAGAACATGAATGAGCTGAAATTCCTGTTGCCAATTGCCTTGCTAATGTGCAATTCTAATGGGGACAATCCCATCATCGGCCTAATATCATCAAAGATTCTACCCTCAACACCAACTGGAAATTTCAGCCAAAACACGGTGCAGCAACAGTTGAATTCAAAAGGTTGGCTTTTCGAAAAACACCTTCTCAGCCATCAGTATGCAACAAGAACGAATAAGTCACTCACAGTGTCCCAAAGGGCTGAGGCACTGAACCATCGCGGAGCGCTGGCAGGTTGGTTGCTCCGTGAAAAATGACGCTAATGCACTCTGTCCCAGGACGTGAGACTTGCCACTCGTTTGTGGGAGAGATACTGGTCGCTTCAGACGTTTTGGGAGGCGTTTCTGTCACCTAAAATTAGGAAAGATAAACGAAGAACCAACTTCAGAATACCATTTCTTTTCATATAGAAAGGGTACAAAATTACAGTCACTACACTTTACAGCAAATCTGGTGAAGCACTTTGAGACCTCCTCTTGACCTGAAAGGCACTGTATCAAATACAAAGATTATTATGAATACCAAAAATTATGAAATGTAATACAATACAGGAAATCCCACCCTGTCAATATCTGTTTTGGGCCCAAAGTCATCCTCATTGAAGCTGCTGGCCTGTGTTTTAGTTAATTAGGTGGGTACCCATTAAAAAAATAGCAGAGTTAAGATGGGATCCAAGAAACTGCACACGTGCACTTTGGGTCAGTAACCCTCCTGGCAGCTCCAGCTTATAAAGTCCAGTGCACTCAGAAATCTGTGGGGGGGTGAGTCAGGCTGACCACAAGTAGCAGGCACAGCCTTGAGCAGCTTCAACCTCCCCACTCCAGCCCTCTGTGATACAACTCCTTGCGCGCCTTAGTGTAAAAATCTCCTCCAGCTCTTAATAAAAATGCAACCGCAGGCCGTAAAACCCTCCAATTGCTTTTATGATTTTCTCACATAAAGAGCTTTGTGCTGAATGCATTCACGTGCCTGATAATGAGTTCCAATTAACGTTCATGTACTTAGTGACAACCTTCATTGACAGAATCATGTTGAGCGAGGTTGCAGAAGAAGGAAAGCCGAGTGAAAGCCATATCTGTGAAGAGGCACAATACGCATCTGAATCCCAATCAAGGTCACACCTTGAAAGAGATTCCTAACTAGTGAATGGAAGAAAGGTTTTGAAAAGCCTTTGTCACAACAACACAATGACACACACACAAAATTACAGAAGCATGTTACTAAGGAAAAAAAGCCTTAGGAACAATACAAAACATACATGTGCTTGCCCGCTTTCTTCCTTTGCTGTATCTGAAACAACAAAAGAACTTGCACTTTGAATTGTGCTTAATCACGCTGAAATAATAATATCTTTTGCATTTGATACAGGGCCATATCAAACTAAATATTTTAAAGCACTTCACCTTTATTGTCAAGTTTAGTGTAGTTTTTAGAAAGTAAATGTCCCAGCCATTCGCACCAACAAGGTCCCACAAACAGCCATTTGGTGCACAACCAATTCATTTGGACAATATTTAGCCAGGACTCTCAAATAATGTCACTGGATCTTTACTGTCATTCTGAGCTAATAGGTGGGATCTCAGTTTACTATCTTATCTAAAGATTGTTCAGCTGATAATGTAGGTCTCTCCCCAATACTGCACTGAAGTATTATCCCGAAGAGCTAAGTTCAAATACTGAAGACATTTATCTCCCTTTCTCCAATACCCACGCTCTCCACCTTTACTGAGTGATGGTTCCATGGATATTGGCCCTACCTTACCTTGTCCAAAGTCACCCTGACTCTTGGGCAAGTCTTGACCTTGAGAATCAAGAGCCTAATCAATTACATCAAAGACCAAACCTGTCCTCATCCAATTTCCACACACACACACACACATCTCCAGCGGGTATCACTGAATAGTAATTAGGAATGGGATTCTTCCCTTCCTAACCCAGGGATTAGAGCAATTGCAACATGCATGAGCACCACCATGCTATTATCAATAAACCTAGGGCCTTTCCAGTCAATGACTAGGATACCCACCAGGTACTCACTAAATGTCATCAGTGACCATGGGCAAAGCTGGCATTTCTGTTGGATTTTTTTCTGATGAAAACAAAAATCAACAGACCCCCATCATATGTGATAAACAAAGCAGAACATTTCCATCATATATCCAACATGAACAGGTGGACAGCCAGAGGATTTGTGGGATATTTTCACACACAAACACACGGTACAGAAAGCCCTCAAGGCTTGCTTCACCATGGTGCTATGAAAGCAGTCATCTTGTGCTAATTGGAGTATAAAGCATTATTTTCTGAGACCTGGCTGTGTCCCAAAGGGTCTGAAGCCACAATGCCTGAGGATTGAGTGGAGCTGTGGTGGTGGGGAGGGGGGGGGATTATTCCATTCTCCTGGTAGGAAGGTAATTTACAAAAAAAGCAGAATTCTGGAAAGAGTGCAGGAAAAAACATTAAATAAAAACAAAATCAAATCCAGAGAAACTCAGGCTTCAACAATTGATTTATCTTTAATATAACCATTTTTGAACACAATGGGGTAAGATCTCTCCCTCTCGCTGTGCAGGGCAGAAACACAAAGGACGTGGACTAAATCAGCTATAGATTAATGCAGCCTGAAAGGAAGGGAAAATGTGAAGTGGTCCAATGACCTCCATACAGTGAGTTTCGAGCTAGCAAATTGTTGAAACCATCAATTCCTAAAATGTGAGCAGAATTATTCAGTAATCAAGGGACCACAAGAGGAACATATGGCCGATCACAAATTGTTGTATAGCCAGTCGGGAAACAAAGTACAAGATGGAACAAACATAGCTCACATGCACGGAACCTACTCCCTGCTGATGCTGTCCATTAACCCTTTCTGAAAAGGAACTAGATAGGTATTTGCTTTGGAACAGTAGTGGGATGATGGGAAGGGAGATACAATGGGATGGATCAGATCATGAGAGGTCAGATAAAGAAGGCCCTTTGACCAATTTGATTTCATCTTTCCAGAATGGTACCATCTTCTCACGAATCAATACTCCATAGAGGACAATGATTTGTTTGCTGTTTGGGCCTGGGTTGGAGAGGATGAATATTCTGATATTTTGCTGAACTACTTTTAAATTCAGGGAACAGCAGTGCATGATTTTACTCCCAGGAAGTCCACAAAAGGGTTGTTTTTGGGAGGGCTATGGAAGGAATGAGCTTGATGGGCTGAATGGGATGAGCAAGAAAGCTGCTCACATATCGCCATTCTGGTGGCTCTACAAAGAATTGCTACAGGAAGCTCGAAGGCATTGGTGACAGGAAGAATCAATAAAACTTTTGTCCATCCCTTCCTGTGAGGGACACAACATCCCTTGTAATCTGAGATACCTTTAAAATTAACATTCATGTCTGACTTCAGATGTAGTCCAGTGACATGTGGAATAAAATGAACAAAGTTGGAAGAAAAACATCAGCTTCCCTCAAACTAGATCCCCTGTTCTGAAGCCCTCTTTTGGTGGATTCAATTCCACAGGGGAACACAAAACCCGAGTACCATAGCATAAGACTTCAAAGAACCATGATGCTTTCTTTAAATTATCAGTAAATAATTTCCTCAATTTTCAAACAAATCTCAGTTCAGTCCAGTCAGAAGTAAACATAAAAAATCTCCAGATCATAACCTATATGTTATTTGCATTCCTAGTTTTAGCTTTTGTGTAAACTGCAAATATATATATATATATACACACACACACACAGGGGGAACCTAAATTAATGAAGGAAGAAACCAGTGCATCCTGGTTCCCCTTCATTTCAAATAATATACAATTTCCACCCAGCAAAGAAAAATAGGATTTTCCATACACATAGCCCTTAAACTTTTGTCTCCGGACACGTTCATAAGAGCCCTTGAAAATGCAAGTCCCATTTGAAGCTGATGCTAATAAAGTCTATGTGGGACTAATTAACGTTAGAATAGCTTTAATGTGCAAGCAAGCTGTATTCGACAGGGAATAAACCACCTCCAACCCTCACACTGCACTTCAGTGTTTGAAATACAGATCGCCAATAAACATAAACCTGACAATAATCAACTACAATCATGCAAATCTACCTTTCTAAGTAGAATTTCTTCATCTACCCCTTCCATTTTGGAATGATCCACTGGCAGCTTTCGAATTGTTTCAGAGGTTTCTCTATTCCCCCCAAAAAAATCCCCAAATCCTTTTGCAAAATGTCAACTCAAGTTGCTATTGAGAGAATCTAATGCTGTTTCTAGGAGATGTTGATCATTCATGGTGGAAGAGGGTACTCAGCGCACACACACATACACACACACACACACACAAAACACATCACAAGGGATTCAAGGGATTTCCATCTCAAGCCTGCTATATAATTCAACAAAGCCGGCAGCTGTTCTGATAGAAACAAATACCTGGAAGGTTTGTTCACACCGTTAAGATGAGCTTTTCCAAAATATTGTACCTATTACTCCGAAAGAAAGTCTTTAGCCATTATGACATGGATAAAATCTGCTGACTGTAAGGGCAATGTTCATTGGGACACGGGCTGCCCGGCTAAATCGAGCGTGGATGATTTCTCAATGAAGTGGCAGTAATGATGTTGCGATCAGTAATCCTCTTTAAGAATGACCTACAGGGTTACAAAGCAAATCACCAGCCATGGCATTGATAGCATTTTGCAGATCCAACTAGGATGAATCCTCAAGCAACACTGAAATGCCAGACATTGTTAGAATACAAGATAGTTAGAGATTGTAATTGATCTCAAGCATCCACCTCCCTTCCTCTCCTGGAGATACTGACCCAAAGATTGTAAACTGAGATCTTCCCAGTCTATGTCCACTGAATGAACCCAGTGAGCCAAGCAAGGAGCATTGATTTTACTGTAACTGCATAATAATTTAGAATGATACATAAAATGTTTTTAAAAATAGTCATTTATAGATTGTTATATCTACCGCAACAATAAGTTGCATTTATATAGCACTCCTCATGCAGGGCAGCACCTTGGAGCATCTATACACAAAGGCAGATCAATATGAAACATTGCTAAAATAGTTAGCGTATATAAAAGCTTGTGACTTTCTTTTGAGTTTCGCGCATCTCAATCTCTTTCCTCCTTCTCCTCCTCTCCATCCCTCCTCCCTTGTCCACTCCCAAAAGAGAATGAAACCAAGTCTCCAACCCAATCTAATTGTGTTTTTTATATTCTATATGGATGTAAAGTATTATCATCAGAATTCAGGGGTTACGAACCTGCCAATACATTTTTTTTTGAACACTCCGCTTACTACCTGGAATTGATTTTGCGCTGTCAACATCAATTTGTCTGATTTTAAAGAT